TTGATCTCCAAGATAGAGGATCCAGATCTAAAAGATAAGTATGTCAAACAGCTTAGAAACCTTTTCAGTAAAAAGGATAATAAGCAACCTGTTATAGAAAAACCATTAATAAGCCTTAACAAAACTATGGAAAGATTTAGTAAGGAAAAGAAAAAAGAAATCACCTTACAAGATCTCCAAAGTGAAGTTAATAAGCTTAAACTAGAAATAAAAGATTTAAAAGCTCAAGACAAGAAATTTGCTGAAGCTTTAACTCTTTTACAAACAGAAAAATATTCTGAAAAATCCCAGGATTCTGATCCAGAAGATCAGACTGCAGATTTTACTAATCCTTTTGATCATCAAGGCTACACACAGGGGATACCAGTAACCTCCTCCTATTCAGACGGAAACTTCTGGTGTAACGAACCTGCCTTCATTCCAGGAAGGAGCCACTACTAATGACAAAAGAATTAGTCTGATTAATTCTTTAACTGTCCAAAAATGGCATGTTGAAGTAAAATTAATCATTAACAATAGTTTTCATATTACTGTTATTGCCCTATTGGATACTGGAGCAGATGTTAACTGCATCCAAGAAGGATTAATTCCAACCATGTTTTATGAAAAAACATTGGAAAGAATTAGTTCTGCCAATGGCAGCAAAATGAATGTTAAATACAAACTTCCTAAAGTTCATGTATGTCAACAAGATGTATGTTTTGAAACATCATTCCTTCTTGTTAAAAACATGACTGATGCTGTTATTCTTGGTCTTCCATTTATATACCTTTTGTACCCTTTTAGTACAAATACAGATGGAATATCAACCAAGCATTTTGGAAGAAAAATTGTATTTCCATTTATTACCAAACCTGAGAAAAAACATTTAAGGCAGCTAAAAGACATTTCTGTCTCACAGTCCCTTAATGTTATTAACAGGAAAATTAAACAAGTGGAATTTCTTAAACAAGAGATTAACCACCTCAGAATTAAAGAAAACCTAACCAACCCAATCTTACAACAAAAGATTGATAGGTTTAGGGAAAACTTAGAGTCAGAAGTTTGTTCCTCCCTTCCTACAGCATTCTGGCATAGGAAGAAACACATGGTCAGACTTCCTTATATTAAAGGATTTAGTGAAAACAATATTCCCACTAAATCCAGACCAATCCAAATGAACCATGAAACTACTGAGATCTGTAAAAAGGAAATCTCAGAGTTGCTAAAAAATGGTATCATTAGGAATAGCAAGTCACCTTGGTCTTGTCCTGCTTTCTATGTAGTCAAAAACGCAGAATTAGAAAGAGGAGTCCCAAGGTTAGTCATTAACTATAAACCTTTAAACAAGGTTTTAGAATGGATTAGGTACCCTATACCTAACAAACAGGATTTGATAAAAAGACTCAATAAGTCTACTATCTTTTCCAAATTTGATCTCAAAAGTGGTTTTTGGCAAATACAGATCCACCCTATGGACAGGTATAAAACCGCTTTTACTACTCCCTTCGGACATTATGAATGGAATGTCATGCCCTTTGGGTTAAAAAATGCCCCAAGTGAATTCCAGAACATAATGAATGAAGTCTTCAATTGTATCAGTCATTTTTCTATTGTCTATATAGATGATATACTCATCTTCTCCAGAACAATAGAAGAACACTGGAAGCACCTTTATGCTTTTCATACAATTGTTAAACAAAATGGATTAGTCTTATCTGCATCTAAGATTAAGTTATTCCAAACCTCAGTAAGGTTTTTAGGATACAATATCCAGGATTCTACTATCACTCCTATTAGTAGAGCCATCCAATTTGCAGATAAATTCCCAGATGAAATTCTAGACAAAACCCAGCTCCAAAGGTTTTTAGGTTCCCTAAACTATGTTTCTGACTTTTATCAGGATCTTAGGCAAACCATCAAACCTCTGTATGACAGGCTCAAAGGAAATCCTCCTCCTTGGACCACTGTTCATACTTTTATTATTCAACAGGTTAAGAAGTTCATCAAAACTCTTCCCTGTCTTGGTATTCCGTCCGTTGATTCTTTCAAAATCATCCAGACAGATGCCTCCAATATTGGTTATGGCGGAATCCTCCTTCAGAGAGAATCTCCTAATTCTCCTGAACAGATTGTTCGGTTCCATTCTGGTATTTGGAATAAGACCCAAAAGAATTATTCCACTATTAAAAAAGAGATTTTATCTATTGTCCTGTGTATCTCTAAATTCCAGGATGATATATTGAATCAAAAGTTCCTTGTGCGGGTTGACTGTAAATCAGCCAAGGATGTTTTAACCAAAGATGTTAAAAATATAGCTGCTAAGCAAATTTTTGCTAGATGGCAATCTATTTTAAGTATTTTCGATTTTGATATAGAATATATCAAAGGAGAACATAATTATATTCCTGATTTCCTAACCAGAGAATTCTTGCAGGAACCTCATGGAGGACAGAAAACGTAGTTCATCCTCAACCTCCTCCAAAAATTCCAGGGGGAAGGGAAAGGATAAAATATTACCCAAATCTGAACCTGACTTGCCAATAGTCTTGTCAAACAGATTTCTATTACCTACTCAGCCCACAAGGCCAGTAGCCCAATCTGCTTTGGTTATACGGCCAGTAGCCGTATCAACCACTATTAACCTATTAACCTTTACCCAAATGGCCCAACAGCAACATGTCAGGACCACTAGTGCCATGACAAACCCCTATCAGGCCTCACAACCATTTGTAGCCCAATTAGGCCCAAAGGTTGATTACATCAAAGCCTATTCCCAGAATGTCCTAGCCATTGAACTAGCCCATTCTAAATACAAGGATCCAAAAGACCTTGTAAAGGCCTACCTCCCAACAGGTTGGACCTATATTCCAGTAGACTTGGAAAAACCCCATAGTTTTTACCAAGATATTCTCTACTACACCAAATCTATATTCACCAAGCCCATCCTTGATAAGATAAACCCAAATAAGGTTATCTATCACAGCTTGTATATTACCAAAATTATTTCTGTTGAGGATTGGGGTTCTCACCCTTCTTTACTTCGAGAACTTCCTTTTCACACCAGACAATTTAATTATTATGACTACATTGAATCGTGGTCAAAAATATTACTCTTCCAGAATGAGGATTTGTCCCATTCCTGGTTCCTAAATTTCCATAAAGATTTCAAAAGTCATATTCCTGCATGGTTTAATCAGTGGTGGCATCAACATGGTCCCATTGATGAAATCTTTCCAGCTGATCTTAAAGATCAGATTAATATCTTTTACTCCCTTTACCGACCTAGTAAACAGGAGTCTCCATTACCTTTATTACTAATATTTCTTTGCAGGTACAAAGTCCCGTGGATACTCAAATGGCAATGGAAAATTGTGGGATTCAACTTGACCCAACAATTCTATGTCAAATGGTGGCCCAGGTTTCAGCATAGCGACACTATCGCAATGGTGAAACGAGACTTCCCTGTAAGGGTACCAACTCCAATAGTAGTTCCAGGTCCCTTACAACCAGCAACTCCAATGAAGGAACTGCCCGCTCATTTAAGCCAGGCTAACCTTCCTACAAAGCAAGTTCAACCAGAAGAATCTTCATCTAAAGGTTCTCAAAAGAAGTCCAGCAAGAAGAAATCCAAGGCAAAGCTCCTTCAGAAGCTCTTGGAACAACTTGACTCAGACAGTGAATCATCTTCCCAAAGCTCTTCCTCAGAACTCCCAGCAGGATATGCTCAGGACCCCTTATGAAAGAATCGAAGACTTTGATGTTGATGACCTCACACCTGACCTTGCACTTCCGTGAATTATTATTTACATAAAGTGGCTTCAATCACTACTTTCTTCAGTAAAGAAAGAAAAGTTGTCCACTCTGTGTAAAAATAATATCACAAGTCTGCATAGGATCCCCTTTCTCTAAAAGCAGGATTCTCACAGACAAAGGCAGGACCCACAAATCTGTTTTTCCACCGAAAGATGGATTCTCAGGACAAACAAGGACCCACTAGTCCTTTCAACATGTCCTAGTTACCCGGGTAAAAGAATATTACTCCACTTTTCAGCCGAAAGCAAGAAAGTGAATTACTTTACCCTGAGTAAAAGAGAAAGGCAGAATTATTACCACAGAAGAATCCGGAGTCCCTTACCTCTATATAAGGCAACTCCCACTTCTCCACAAACCAAGCTTTAAAAACTCCAGACACTCTAGTTTGGTTTCAAAGTACCTTTACAAACCCTCTAGTTTTGTAAACCTACCTCTCACTTGTAAAACCTTCTTCATGATGCAAAAGAAGAGCTTCCCTATCACCGCTTATTTCCACTAGACCATTAGTTCTAGTGTTGTAAGTGTTTATTTTCTTTATTGAAATATTTTGTATATTTTCCATATCTGTTTCATATTCCTCTACATTCCATGAATTATATATATATATAAATAACGGAAACATGATAGGACAAAGATAAGTCTATATATGAATATTTTTATATACATCAACCATTTAATACATATAATTTATCCTGATCTAAAAAAAATAAATTTAGACGAATATCCATTTTTATTTTAATCCAATGTGATCCCTAACTATGATGCAGGGGTTATTGCTAGTAGTATGTGCGGAAAACCACAAATTTTGACTCGTTTCTTTTCTTCCCCGAGTTTATGGGAGCAAACGGAGTCTTCAAAATAATTTAAAAACAAAAAAACCTCAAGACCATGATCAAATGCGGTAATGATGCAAGTGTGGACAATATAGTCAACAAATTAGGGAGCATTTGACAAGAATTTCTTCATTACTTTGTATAAAAATGACAAATGAACGGTCTCAAAAGATTCTCACTTTCTATCACCTGCTGTACTAACAACTACTTCCACACTATTACACCCACCAACAAAACCAATTCCAAACCCACCTAGAAAATTTAGAACTATATGATTCTACACTATTATTCACAAACTTTCTGGGGTAGAAAATGGAAAAAAACAAATATATTCAAACTCAAAGATGCTCAATAGTAGTGTCACCAGAACTCTTAATGCTTATTATCAGCCTCTCTTCTTCTGGTAACCCGTATGTAGCAGTAAACAGCTGCAAAAATAGCAGTGACAAGTCCGCCAATGATCACACCCCCACCAGCCACTGACTTATCAGAGGAGTGATGCTTTCCCATCCTTCTGTTCTCTGGTGCTTCAGCTATACTTGACGCTCTCTCCTCCTCTGATGAGGATGATGAAGCCTCTGGACCACCACTTGATACAGGCGGATCTGCTGTTCTAATCACCATCTTTTCCGACTGAAGAAAGCTTCGAACCCGCAGTTTTGGTGGGTATGGTTCTGAACTTTCAGATCTAACAGCCATTGTTCGGAAAACCAAGATCTGAGCTAGAATGAAGCAAGCCAAGACAAACCGACCCATTTTGAGATAATGCAAGAAATAGAGTTCTAAGAACTTTACTGATCTTTGGTAGTCTTGGAGATCTGGTATGTATCTGCTGTGTAAGATGTGGTTTTCAAGTATTTATAAAGGAGACGAGAGAAAGTGGAGAGTCAAAGTATTGTGAGCTGCGAATGATCGTGTGGTGTGAAGATTGGGAGAAGTTTCATGGTTCACTTGTTGCGGTTGTGGGGTCATACGTAGGAGAGATAGAAAGTTGGTGACAGGTGGGAATGACTTCGGGTTTGTAACTGGACAGGTGAAGAACTGTAACGGCGGCACCTTCCTGTTTGGTTACACTTTACACCGTGATAAAGGAAAACAACTGGATTCTGTCTTGGGTTTCTAGATCTTTCCCATTCCGCCTCGTGTCTACTTCTTTGCCGATCTTTTAATTTAAGGAAAAAAAAAATGAGTAATGTTGTTGACAGATAATTTGGAAATTTAATAACTGTGATTATTAAATTATTGAACAATGTTATTAGAATTTATTTTCTCCGTTTCTAAATATTTTTTGTTTTACACAAATTTTTTTATTTCATAATATCTGTCGTTTAATGAAACCAAAGTATAATTAATATTTTTCTTTTAATTTACCCTTATCTCTATTTTCTAATAAATGTTTAATAAATTAAGTATAGGTTAGGTGTCTTTCATATTTATTTTTTTTCCAATACGTATTAAATAAGAGTATTTTAGTATTATACAATTATTTTTAACTCATATTAGAGCTATTTAATAGTTTCCTTAATTGTTGTACAAAAATCTTAATCGACGGATATTTAGAAACAGATGGAATAATTTATTAACATAATTTGTTGACTTAATTCATTGTGATTTTTGAAATTTAGTATTAATCCAATGATCTCTATGAAGTCAAATTATTATGCTAGTAAATTATGTCAAATTTTTATGTTTAAATAACATCACTCAGAGATTATTATTGGGTCATAACATTAAATTATTACTGGATCCCAACACTATCAATTTAATAGTTGTAATGCATTAAGTCTCTAAATTATGTCCTTTAATTATGTCTCAATAGCATTAGTAAAAAAATAATAATAATCTCCCTTAATTTGATATGGATATGGATCGAAAAAAGTTTTTAAATTTTTGTTATCTAAATTTAAATTTAGGTTTAAAAAATTGTAAGGATTGGAGATGCTTTTAGACCATTTCCAAAAAAGTAAAAAAATAAAAAATTTAATTTGGTATAGAACACTTCAATAAATGAACTCAAATATATAATCAAATCTTTTAAAAAATACCCTTACTGTCCCAAAGCTTAATTTTTAAATTTTTTTTCACCAAAACTTTTTATTCTCTCTCATTTTCTTGTCTTCATTCCCTCCACAATACTAAAATAGAAAAGAAAAGGCTCCCCAATATTAAAAACCTATTTTTTATGAACTTCACCAATACTAATCAAAAGAAAAATCAGAAATAACAATCGCTTTTACAATATTTATTCAATATCAACAAACAATATTTCTTATCTTCAATTCTGTCTAAACCAACTTCTAACCAAAGCAATCCCGTATGAGAGACAAGTAAGAGAGAGAGGAGAAAGAGAAAGATATAGCAAAAGTTACCCTCGAAGAATAAAGGCAAGGAGAGGCGATGTGATCAACAACGATGACAGCGACTTTGAAGATAAAGGTAAGAGAGACAAGAACTTGTTCTATCCAATGAGTCTTTTGGGTTTAAATTAGATAAAAAGTTACTGTTGAAAATTTTATGTATGATTTGAGTCTCCTTCAATTTGGATCAAAGTAAATTTTGCCTTGATTTGATATAAAGTTTTGTTTCAAGGTTAGAGAAATTTTTTAGGTCATTTTAACTTAAATTTAAATTTAGGTTTAGATTTGAGTTAAGGTTGAAGATGCTCTAATGCTAGACTCATACCTATTCAAATGAAGGGAAACTTTTGCTTAAACCCAAATTAAGGGAGACTCTTTTTTATACCCAAATCTTGAATGGTGATATTTCACCATCTTTTAAAGATTCGATGATCATATTTTGCCCTATTTTAAATTTGGATTTCTATTCCTTTAAATTTGATTTTCTCCATTGGAGTGGTTTATAAAATATCAAGCTTATCCTAAAAAATTGTCTTAATTTGTTAGTATAATAATGTGTGAGTGACATGATTCAATAATATTATTGTGACTGTAATTCTTAGACTATTTAATTGGGAGTTCATCACTTGATACATCATTAAGGTCAATTTTGTTATGTCTCAATAGCATTAGTCTTTTTATATTACACCCAAAATTATATGTCAATTTGTTTTGTTGAATAATTTTTTTGCTATATTTATTATATATTTTTGTTCTATACAAATTTGTTTCCCAAGTATTTAATTTTGAATGTATCACATACAAAAATTTACACCTAATTTACTAAACGGACTACAGTACTATCTTTTTGTATAATTGAGGGTACAACATAAAAATTTTAATCTTTCAAGATATTATTTTAAATTCTAAAAATCTTTTAGGGTACAAAGTATCATTTGTCCTAATGCAAAATATAACTTTTGACCTAGGAGACTTGGAGAATATAAAAATGTATTATTTTAATTCTATATTATAAAGTTGGATTCTCATAGGTTTTGGGAACAATAATGTCTTATAATATAAATAGTTTGGAATCAAATAAAACATATCAACTCATGGCCGTAATAATAGTGAATTATCCAAAATGGGTGGTTGAACTTGAGCATTCTTAAATAATGTCCATTTCCACTCCAAGTGGCTAATTAAAAACCTGAACGGTGAATTCATGTTTTGTGGTATTTTCGTGCATAAGAGATTTTATGTTGTTGTAAAAACTCAAATTACATAGAGAACGAATAAGAGTGACCAAGAGTTTTCAGTTGGTACGAGACCAGTGCCCTCCGATCAAAATAGTTTTTCTTCTAATCTTTCTTGTAAGTGGTCATGAGAACTAGTTGGCCATCCGACCTATAATTTGCTTAAACCTTAACCATGCATTTTGATTTTAGTTGACTCCAAAATATCAAAGATGTGATCGATCTAGCTAATTGCTAATTGCTAAGTATAGGTGATTGAAAGAATTGGTTCACGTACCTATATGCTATAAGTTGGTATGACCAGTCAAAATCACTGATCAAATGCATGGCTGGCTAAGAGGGGATCATAACCCATCCAATTTGAATGGCTCAATGCTCATCGATGAGCATATTTTACCAAACCATAGATCCTAATCTTATCAATAAATGCTAGTTGATTTTGATGATACCAAAATCAATCTGGATACCACCTGTAATGGGTCCAATTACGGTACTAAAATACCATTTTTCGGTATTATATCTTTAACTTTTCTCCAACAAAATTATGAAACTATGATTTATTGCTAAATGATTGAAAATTATCTAAACCAAAAGGAACGATCGAAGATAAATTTTGATACAGTATCAATTACCTTTTATTAGGGGTGGTAATCGTATCGTGTTATATTATTTTCAGGTTTATGTCAAGTACTATTTAACTCTAATCTAACCCGTTTAATTAATCTTGTCGACCTATTTATTTTTGCATTGTATTTATATTGACTCATATTACCCGTAAATAAAAAGTTTAACGTTCAATTTTAAGCCTAAATGTTATTATCACTTATTCGAACTTATGCTCATACTTTTTCTATAAACTAAAAATTAACTTAATAAATATAATACTAAAAACAAGTAAAATTTAATTAGGTCACTACTTGATAAAGTATAATAAAAAATTAATATTTTATTCTTATAATACTACTTTATCATGTCAATTGTGTATTATTTATGTTTAACATAAATTCAACTCATTTATTATTCGTGTTAACGGATTGTATCATAAACAGATTCGTTTCGATAAGTGGTCAACCCTAATCCGTTAATTTCATATCAATTTTGAATCGAATTTTTTGTGTTTTGTGAGATATTGTCACTCCTATTCCTATCCTTTTTATTATGGGAAATACTTGATAGATGGAAGGCTTCTCTTGGTAATCCAACTTTTGGATGCAGCAATAAATACTGCTGGATCTTTGGACATCGTAGCCTCCACCCAAATTAAAATAGATATAATAATTAAAGGAAACAGTGTCCATGGGTCCTGTTGATCAGATCAATTAATTTGCCCATTTTCGTTTGAAAATGAAGTCTATAGTTGACATTACAGCTGGAAATTGGAAGGTTCAAAGGTCGGGCAGTCATTTTTTTTCCATTGGTGATATCATTCATTTTCATAGGGTTACATCGAGCATTTTCATTCCAACACATGTAGAGACGGATCTAAGATTTTAGTATGTAATGACTTATTGTCCATGTTCACTCGTTCTCTAATCAATCTTTATGGATTTTGAAAATACCATAAATCACAATCGAACTTAACCCATTACAGTTCAATATTATCGAGTTAAGCTGCAATAATCTGTCCTGGACAATCCAGAGTGAGTAGATTAACTCCCAGGTCATCAAATGATATCCAAGTAACTTGGCTAATACTACGTCAGCTCGGATTTAGCTATTGGAAGAAGAGGAATAGTTCAACAAGCCTATCCTGGCTGGCTGGCTGGCTGGCTGGGGGATGGGGAGAGGGGGGAGCTACCACCTCAAGAATTTCACCCAACTGCTTCTAGAAGTTCACGTGTCCTATACGATTGTCTTTAACAGTTAAATATTTTTTAATTATTCTAACAGATTGAGAGGACAACACAATCATGGAAGAAGACAAAAACTTACTCTCGTATAAATAGAAAAGAATTTCAAACCGCATAAGGGATTCAATCCTCTTTAATCACTCTCTTCTTCTTTCCTAAACAATACCAAGTTTTAATGTTTGATGAGAGTTACTGTCAATCGAAATGTCACAATGAATTATTTCAACAAATAATATCAATAAATTAAATCTCAATAACATTGTTCATACAACAAACACAGAATAAAAAACTCTATTGACAATGAATTAACTTAA